AAACGACAATTTGCAACAGCAAATCCACATCGTCAGCAGAGAGCTCCAGATCAGGAAACCTTTAAAAGTAGAATATGACGAACTGGAAGCTGTGGAGAAAGCCACGCAGGCACAAAGGAGAGTCCTGGTGAAAACGCAAAGTGAGATCTTAAAAAAGCTTGTAAATGAAGAAGACCGTTTTTCCAAATGTAACATGCTGAAGGAGGAGACAGATACCTTGAAGCAAAAAAATGAGAGAATGACTAATGACATTCAGATTTTCAAAGAGCATCTGGAAAATCTGAGGGCTTCTAACGCAAATCATAAGTCACTGAAGGCAGAGAACAGGACTCTCACCAACCAAAACAACACTCTACAAAAAAAACTTCAGGAGCTGGAGAAGCAGCTTTCAAAGGAGCGAGCCTTAGTAGAAAAAATTAATGCAATAAAAGAAGAGAATGTTGCCCTGAGCATAGGAAACAATCTCCTGTACAGCAAGACTGACAAACTCCGCTGCTCACTCCAAGGTGAAAAAGTTCTGGGCATCACCTATGATTCCCTGAAACTGGAGAAAAATGTCTTGAGCAAGCTGAATGAAGCTCTACATAAGGAACTCCAGAAGCTTCGTAAAAAACTGAAAAAAGAAAAAGCTTTGAAGGACAAGTGTACAATAATGGAGGCGACTAAAGATGAACTCAGCAGACAAAATGAGGCATTAGAAAGGCAGATTATAAATGAGGCAAAGAATAATCCAATAAAAGAAGAGAATGATGCCCTGAGAAAAGAAAATAATCTCCTGTAACGCACAACTAATGTACTCCTCTGCTCACTTCAAGGTGAAAAAGTTCTGGGCATCACCTATGATTCCCTGAAACTGGAGAAAAATACCTTGAGCAAGAAAAATGAAACTCTACGTAAGCAACTCCAGCAGCTTTATAAAAAAAACTGAAAAAAGAAAAAGCTTTGGAGAAGTGTACAACAATGGAGGCGACTAAAGATGAACTCAGCAGACAAAATGAGGCATTAGAAGAAGAAAGGCAGATTTGTAGGGAACGTATGTCTCACATGGAGGCTTTGAAGAAAGAAAACGACAATTTGCAACAGCAAATCCACATCGTCAGCAGAGAGCTCCAGATCAGGAAACCTTTAAAAGTAGAATATGACGAACTGGAAGCTGTGGAGAAAGCCACGCAGGCACAAAGGAGAGTCCTGGTGAAAACGCAAAGTGAGATCTTAAAAAAGCTTGTAAATGAAGAAGACCGTTTTTCCAAATGTAACATGCTGAAGGAGGAGACAGATACCTTGAAGCAAAAAAATGAGAGAATGACTAATGACATTCAGATTTTCAAAGAGCATCTGGAAAATCTGAGGGCTTCTAACGCAAATCATAAGTCACTGAAGGCAGAGAACAGGACTCTCACCAACCAAAACAACACTCTACAAAAAAAACTTCAGGAGCTGGAGAAGCAGCTTTCAAAGGAGCGAGCCTTAGTAGAAAAAATTAATGCAATAAAAGAAGAGAATGTTGCCCTGAGCATAGGAAACAATCTCCTGTACAGCAAGACTGACAAACTCCGCTGCTCACTCCAAGGTGAAAAAGTTCTGGGCATCACCTATGATTCCCTGAAACTGGAGAAAAATGTCTTGAGCAAGCTGAATGAAGCTCTACATAAGGAACTCCAGAAGCTTCGTAAAAAACTGAAAAAAGAAAAAGCTTTGAAGGACAAGTGTACAATAATGGAGGCGACTAAAGATGAACTCAGCAGACAAAATGAGGCATTAGAAAGGCAGATTATAAATGAGGCAAAGAATAATCCAATAAAAGAAGAGAATGATGCCCTGAGAAAAGAAAATAATCTCCTGTAACGCACAACTAATGCACTCCTCTGCTCACTTCAAGGTGAAAAAGTTCTGGGCATCACCTATGATTCCCTGAAACTGGAGAAAAATACCTTGAGCAAGAAAAATGAAACTCTACGTAAGCAACTCCAGCAGCTTTATAAAAAAAACTGAAAAAAGAAAAAGCTTTGGAGAAGTGTACAACAATGGAGGCGACTAAAGATGAACTCAGCAGACAAAATGAGGCATTAGAAGAAGAAAGGCAGATTATAAATGAGCTGCTTTAAAAAGCTCTGGAAAGCTGAAGCCTGATAGGGTGGTATCACTTTTAACACCACCTTCAACTGACAGCAGTGTCTGCTAGTTACTTTACAACTTTAACTGACAGCCTTTAGTAATGTTAAAGTAAATAAACAAATTAATCAGTTAGGCAATACATTTTACTAAATTACATGACAGACCTGGCAGACATGTCATGTAATTTAGTAGAATGAGCAAATTAATTAGGCAATAGGGCAGCACAGTGGCACAGTGGTTAGCACTGTCGCCTCACAGCAAGAAGGTTGCGGGTTTGACCATTTCTGTGTGGAGTTTGCATGTTCTCCCTGTGCCTGCGTGGGTTTTCTCCGGGTACTCCGGTTTCCTCCCACAGTCCAAAGACACGTATCTTAGGTTGATTGGTGACTCTAAATTGCCCCAAATTAGAGCAAGAAAACCCCAAAACAAAACAAATTTCCTCTCCTTGAATCACTACCTTAATGTGGTTTGTGTGTCCCAATGATCCTGGGAGCTGTGTTGCCTGGGGCATTAGCCCCTGGTAGGGTCTCCCAAGGGGAGCGGCCAGAGTCAGAGTGGTTCAAAAAACTGATGAAAATGATAACTTTTAGTTGCACTACCTTGCACAGATTAGGGAAACCAGGGTATGCTGCTGGAGGCAGACCTTGGTTGGGAGCTCACCAGCGAGTGGCTGAGCCTCGGCCCACAGTGCCCAGTCGAGCACAGCCTGGAGGAATGACACAGTGGAGGTTTCTTCTGTTAAAGGGAGTTTTTTTCCTCACCAATGTCGCCAAGGGCTTGCTCAAGGGGAATTTGTTGGGTTTTTCCTCTATAATAATAATAATAATATGGAAACCTACTGCTGGCATTTGGAATGATGCTAATATCACTGTTAGTTTGAAAGTTATTTAATAAATAACGTGGGCTTCATACAATTGAAAACTTTGGCACAATAAACACTAGACTCAAAGGTCAACTCAATTTCCACATAATGCTGTTACACCTAAAGTCATAACTCCCATGACAGTTTGAGCATCATAATGCGATTGTATGATCATGAAAGCTATTACAGCTAGATCTAATAACTTTACTTTGGTTGATAAATAACAACACACAGTGCATTTATTTGCACTTCAGAGTCCGTCATGTGAACGTAGTGATGTTCCCTCTGATACCAAGGCTCTGAAAGACGCTTCAAACTTGGAAGGGTATTTTTCTAAAGCACTGTGCCAGATTGCTTCAAATCGAGAAAAACCACGTGACTGATGACGTTCGAACCAGTTCCCTGCATCATTCAGACTGAATCAGCTGACTGTTTGGTTTGACAGACAGAGCTTTGAAGCACTGGTGTGATACAAGTGTATTTAAGATAGATGTAACAGCACTCTATGTCTTACCTTCTGTCAATACTTTTTGGATTGCCTCACTATGGAGCCATCAAGCAATCACAAGTGTGAGAACATTATTTCAAAAGAGCAAAATCGACTAAAACCCATCTACTGTGGAGATACAATTATTTTTGAATAAAAATTCCTAAGTCACACAAGCACACCCAGTGTACACCAAGCACATTCAAAAACATATATCATATTATAATAACATTTACATCCACAGCCTCACTGAACCCTGTAAATATTTGCTCTGTCCAGTGTGTAATGCCAAATCAATAATTATAAATCCAATTCAAATTCTTAGCAATTCTTGGGAAAAAAACATTACTTAGGTAGTCAACATTTCAACTGAGCATGAACATTTACTACGTATATAGTATCAGAAATTCTAGCCCACTCTAAAACATCCAGATATTAACATAAAGACCAAACACATACAAACAGGTGCATCAGCAGTATTTGTGTGACACTGTCTACGGATCAGGATCATCTGGCTGATTAAGTCTTTGTAACAGATATGCTTCTTCTCATGGTCATTGAGTGCTGTCAGCATCTCATCTACCTCCTCCTGAGTGAAGGGCTCACCTGATATAAAGACAGCCTACAAGCCTACCTGGCCTAAGTAGCCCACAGTTTTGATTTATCTGTCTTTATTGATCCTGTTAAAACCTGAAAAACCCTAAAGATCCACTTGCTTGTTCTAGAGCTTTTGACCAGATGACAGTCTTCACAACCACATGGATTTTTCTGAACTGTCATGTCCACAGAGATTTACTGTACAGCATCACCTTGTTTTCTGTTCCTAAGTCAATATAATATATGTGGTAAGTATAATTTTGAAGCTTCTGTATTTGAGGATTTTCATTTTGTGCTACTTCATACTTTGACTTCACTCCATTTCAGAGGCAAATATTTTACTTTTTACTCCAGTACATTTATTTGATAACTATAACCATAAAACTTTATTGAGCCCTGGTGGGAAATTCACAAGCTACCCAGCAGTAGCCTACTTCATATTATAGGCATGTGAGATAGTTACAATTAACTCCACCTTTACAAGCTGCAATATTAAAGTGATGAACACAATAATGCATCAATAATTATAATATAATAATATGTGAAATTATTTATTTGAAATGTGACATTTTCATAATGAATAGGCTACTTTTACTTTTGGTATTTAAAGTACATGTTGGTGCTAATAATGTTGTACTTTTAAATAACATTTTGAATACAAGACCTTTCCTTGAAACAGTATTTTTACACTATGGCACTGCTACTTTTAGTTAGGTAAATAATCACATATGCTAAACTGTGAGTTCATATATATAGGAGCATGTTCACAACCTTTTCATGACCAAACTGTGTTTTATTATGAAGACATCCAGACTAATTAATCCATACAAACCATTAATGTGTTTTTGTTCTAAGCTTTGCTCATTTTATTTATAGTATAATAATATACACTGTTTGTACTGTGTGAGATAAGAGACAGAATGACAGGGAGAGACAAAGCAATGTTAGCTTTATTGTCTCCAGCTGTATAAAGGCATAAGTGCTTAAAAAAGCAAATGAAAAATTACAACAAATAGTAAACCCTTTCATACTATGAATGCATGTCAGGTTTGAAGATAAAGACTGAGTTTAACATTACATCTAAGGGTGTATTGATGGGAACTGTCCTGCCTTCCTAAGTACAGCAGCACATGCTCTTCTGTCATTTCATGGTTCCCAACTCATTCAGACACATTATAGCCCTCACCCAAACACAATGCTTACTGCACTGTGCGTAAGTGCATCAAAACCTATTTTAATTCTTGGGGATTACTGCATAATAAGGTATGAGAAAAAAGAGTAAATAAATACAATTAAAGCAAAAAAGATCCAACTCAAGCACATCTTAGAAATGATCTAAAATTATATAATCAGCTGTTTCACCTACTAGGAGAATAATGGCAATATTGCATTTTGAATTCAGAACTTTTGTCCCTTTACAACTCTAAAAATCTTTGCATTTATAATGAAACTAATACTGGTTTCATTAACAATCTACACATTTCACAGTCCAGTGAAATGGGCTGTAAAATCTCAGGATTCAAATCCAGAGAGGGACCATCTGTGAGGGTAACAAAGACGTTCTGTCAGGTGATAGTGGTACTTTAACTCGATCTCCAGTCTTCAACATGCTGGACCCAAGAGGCCAGACGACAGAGCGAACCATATGTTCCTCTAGTGTGTGGATATGTGTGCATTTATATCTCTGGCTGCCCCTGATGTACAGGCACTATATGGTCCTGCCCTTGTTCTTCTGCTAGGGCTTCTGGGAGTTGCTGTCCATTCTGTTCATCTATTTGTGTATTGGCTTCCTCCTCTTCTGTACTTACATCATGCAGAGCTTGCGCTTCTTCTTGAGGCTGAATCTCTTTGTGAGCCTCTGTCTGCTCCACTACTCCAGCCTCATGCTCATCAGTACTGGGGTTTGATGGCTTCTCCTTTGCTGCCACCTCCTGCTGCTGAGGAGCATTGTTGTTGCTGGAGTCCTGTGGCACAAAGTGTGACACTGCAGTCAACTAAAAATGAAGCTCAGGGTAACAAAAGGTGTAGCTCAGTGAAACAAAATATAACAAGAGCACTCAGAGAGCACATTTAGCTCCACCAAGCCACAACATTCACTCACACAAATGGTTCCCTTGTGAAAAATTAGATCTGGAACAACAGAAACTGTCCTAAAATCCTTGATCCAGATCATCTTTTAGGGTATGACAGGCAGTTACTGTGCATCTTACCTGAACATCTCAGGGTTCTGTCATCATTACAGGCCAAGTTATGGCAGAAAATGCAGTATGTGTTAAATTGGCTTTTCAATGTTAACTTTAAATGGGCGTCAGAGCTGAAATCTGGATCAGATCTGGATGAAGTTTGCTCTGGTGATAGACATCACCACCCTACATATGTGTGTCAAATTTCAAACAATGATTTTGATAACCTTTGACAGAGATATGATTTTTTTTATTTTGCACCATGTTAAAGATGGGATTTTTTTTTTAATTATTTTTGTGACCTTGACCTTTGACCTTTTTCAGTCAAAATCTAATCACTTCTAGATTTGGTCTGCACCAATGTCTGTACCAAGTATGCAGACGATCCGTCCAGCCATTTGTCCATAATCCCCCTAACCAACAAACACACACACAGAACCAAAAATACAACTTCCCTGGTGGAGGTAATAAAAACTACAGACATACAAAAATGTCTGTAGCAGAGTCCAACAGATGTAGATTTGAACAGATGGTTAAACACAAAAACAATTTTAAAAAAATCATATAAATATAAAGTTGTTAGGTGATTGCTTCATATTATTATCACACATGTATAAACAAAACCAGAATGTTTATTTTATCTTTTTTTTTTCAAATAAGATTACTTTTATTTCCTAAAGACATTATGCTTTACTGACATCCAGTGGTGGAAGAAATACTTAGATTCTTTACTTAGTGTAAAAATACTCCTATAAATAAAAGACCTGCATTAAAAAGGTTACTTAAGTACAAAAGTATTGGCATCAGAATATACTTTAACTACACAAAGCAAAACTACTCACAATGCAGAATAGCACATTTCTATTAGATAGAGAAGAGCTACAAAAGTATTGGCATCAGAATATACTTTAACTACACAAAGCAAAACTACTCACAATACAGAATAGCACATTCCCATTAGATAGAGAAGAGAGGAGAATGCGTTTGTGTTAGTGTAGACATGCAAGAGCATGCACATATAAAGCACCTGTGTGCGAGGTAACGAAGGAGACAGCAGCTCTGATGGGGCCAATAGGCCGTCCTGGTTTAGATCCTGAGTTCGCAGTAAAAAATCGACCATATCTACGAAATTTATTACTGACACCACCTGAAATCAGAAAACACACAAACACAAAGATAAGCAGTATACAGGTATTACACATGTACAAGTAGACGCAGATGCAACGGTTCACGCACATTTTGGCTTCTCTGCACTGGTTACCAGTGCATCGTGCATCTTAGAATTCATTTTAAGATTCTTTTATTTGTATATAAGGCTGTGAATGGACTGGCACCACCTTATGTGTCAGAGCTACTGCACCCCTATTGTCCTTTGCAGCATCTCAGATCAGCTGATCAGCTGCTCTTGGAGGTTCCACAAAAGAGGCGAAGACTTAGGGGGGACAGAGCGTTTGCGGCAGGGGCCCCTAAACTGTGGAATGCATTGCTTCTCCACATTAGGCAGGCCTCATCACTGGACACTTTTAAAGTCTATTTAAAAACTTATTTGAGGCGGTGTCATGTTGGGGTACCTTGTTTTAATGCTGTATGTGGGGGTTGTTGTAAGGGGATGTTGGTAATTTGTTTTGCTTATTGTTATTATGTTATTGCTGGTGTATTTTATTGTGTTGTTTCTATGTGTTTTGATTTTAATACGGTTGTGATGTGTCACTGTGTTAAGCACTTTGGGCAGCTATGGCTGGGATAAATGTGCTATATAAATAAAGTTGATGATGATGATGATGATGCACACCTACAGCCACTCCTCCTTACCACATCACTGGCCTGTGCTCCAGGTGCATGATGGGAGTTACAGTCTGAAAGTAGCTTCATCATCTCCAAGCCATCCAAGAGCCCACTGCGATCATAGTCATAAAGATGAAACAGGAAGAACACCTCTGACAAATACAGGAAAAGATAAGCATGTTTATCTCCACACACATTTCACACATTGCTTTTGCTTAGATATGAAAAATGTACACTTTTCACAAAGACACATAACTTCAGTGACAGGAACACTAAACCACAATCGCAGACAAACAGCTTGCTCGTCAGCATAATAAAGACTCAACAAGCCAAAGCTGTTTATTTTATTATTATTTGTTATGTTTTTATTGTTCTGAAGTGTTTCAGTAAACTGCCGCCTGTATAAGTGGAGACTGATGATGAAAAAAAACCCCAGTTTCAGATCTCCTACAGGCATCACACCAGAAGATGGACAGCTCTACCTTGCTCCCTGGTGATGATTTCTGGTCCTCCTTGGCCATCCTTCAGACTGGACTGAATGTAGCTCTGCAGCAGCCTGTGGTACACACAGTACATTTCAATGTGTCACTTAGACAAGTAACACAGAGGGGTCAGACTTGTTCGATCCCGCAGGGACTCGGTCAGACAAGCAGGCTGCAAACATTGTGAGGCAAAAGAGGAAGACAAAATTAGATTAAAATAAAATATGTAAACAAATAAAATGCATGTTTATATTTTATTTTTAGAGCACCTTTCAAGATGCTTGACTGCTGGCTGAGTGGTACAGTAAGCAATGAGCCTGTATGAAATGTATCTATGTATACTGTGATATGAAGCTACAAGAGAGTTTTAGCAAGACTCAACAGAGCAGGAGGAGGTGTCATCTTATCAAAACATACTGTTTTCAGAAGAGGGATAGTCATTTATTTGGATCTTATCCTGTCTTACCCATGTAAGAGGAGATGGTGAAAAGTCTGTAGTGTCCAGACAAGACAAGGCAAGTTTATTTGCATATCAAATAACAAGAAGGCAATTTAGCAGCTTTGCATAATACAGAAGGAAGAATGACAAACCAGCTACAGAAGAACCTGAGATGATTCTTTTGGGATAGTTTACCTTAACATTACTATTATTTAATGTCATGCACAAGCCATAGATGAATTAATGCTCACATTAACAGCAGTTTGGTTAAAAACTACAAAACACACCCCCACTTACAAATGAAGTGTGCATCAAAGTGTAATGTTTGTCAAAGGAGGTGCACACCTGTCAACTTCATTTCTACACAGCTGGCAAACATTTGTCTAGTTGTGCATGCAACAGACTTCAGCTAACACTATGACACTTGCATTAATCAGGGAAAATGCCTTGAGGCCACACAGTCACTAGCACACTGTGGCACTAAGGCCACAAAATGGTTATATCTTTCATTTTGCTCCTTGAATTAATCTGACCTGTAACATACTGCACAGCGACAGAGATATGACAGGAAAACTATTTCACATTTGCAACATAAAGCGGTGTTACTGCATGTGTAATCTTATCAGTGTATGGTTGCAGGCCAAATAATTAACACAGCACACCAGCCAAAGTTCAGAGTGGCCACATAAAAGGGGTTCGGTCCACTACAACAGACAGCAGGTTAAAGAATTCTCAGTGTGGTTTCCAAGTTGTCGCTCTGATTTCAGTATGACCCACTGAAGCACAAAAAGAGGGTTTACACATTCAAATCACCGAGATGTTTCTTTTCTCTTTAGCACACACACACAGCACAGTGGGAAATGTCTCCTTCAGTGCACAATAGTCCTTTCATGGTCGAGTTGTTTTAACGTTTCACCTAAAACTGGTGTCAATCGACTTATTACCAACTCCTGTAATCAGAGGCGTCCTTAGATTTGCCTGTCTGGAAACCTCACAAGTCTCCTTACAAGACTCAGTCTCAGCGCCCACCAGGAGTAAATGGGAAATCTAATCTCCAACCACTATGCACAAAAAAGCAACATAATGAATGAACATCTGTGGTGCATTACAATGAAAATGTCAACCATCATTTGTCATTGTAGTGTCAGACAAAATTCTGTGTTCAGAGTGTCAAGAAATGTGTTGTACAAGTTGTTACAGGAAAATTACTTATTTAAATTAAAAGGAAACATGGCATTTAATATGAACATCCAACGGCTTTCACGTTGTCATAGTCCTTCTAGATTAGCCTTCTCTGCATGGCTGCATCACGTTTTCTACACCAACACGCTCAGGTTGGGAACCAGGATGGTTGCTTTTTTAAAGTTATGATCAACAGGAGATGTCATAGCCAAACATCTAATGGTTGATTCATGTTAGAAAATTCTTAATGGTTGAGATGATTTTCTTACATAGACTTTGAGGCATGGGCACCCTAAGCCTTACAGGTTATATATACATGATTTATTCTGAAAATCTTTATGTGAATTTGGATTTGTAAAGTGCTGCGACTTCATGACAGTGTCACAGGCAGTACAATAGCTGTACTGTAGTACCAGCTGCCAAGTCATAGAGTAGTTTGACAAAACAATGCACTGCAGCAAATAGCTCTTTACTTGGGGACTGTGCTAATTCCTTTCTTTTTAAAAAGCTATTAAGACCAAACTTATGGCTTAAAGAGAGCTGGTTGTGCAACAGCAGCCCACTTTCCATGTGCCACTCACCTGCGGTCCTCCTCCCCAGAGCCAAAAGGATTGCGTAGTGCTACGGAAGAGGGGTGGGCATCTCCAGAGTCCTCTCTGTGGAATAAACACACACATACACACAAAAAAAACAAAATCAAAAAGCTTCTTTTCTTGTACTTGAAATGAATTTCTTAACTTTACTCTACTGAGACACTGCAACAACACTCTGATATTGCAGCCCATGGCGCCATGCTTAGAGTGTAAAAACAGTAAAAATAGATTGGTTATGACAAAACACCTTGCAGCATGTTTACTTTAAAGATTTAAGTTGTTTATACCATGTGTGAAAACAAACAAAGCGGGGAGGTGGGGGGTGGGTAGGGAGGGGAGGGGAGGTGAGGTTACCTGAATGTCCCACCTGGTGCAGCCAGGCACAGGTGTATGAGCAGTAACAGGAACAGGACACATGGGACCAACTTGCCAAGGTGAGACTCCATGAACACACCTACAGGCACACAGGCCGGTTTACAACATCATCTCTGTGATACAAGACTGTCATGCATATCAAACCACATGAACACATCAGGTCTGTTGGTATCTGAGGCTTTTGACTGTTGAAAGACAATAAAATGTCCAAATAATTTCTTTTGGGGACATGGCTGGGAGGTGATGCTGTGCAAAGTGGTGCTGCTTCACTGTATCTGCCAAAATGTTCATAAGCCACATGCCATTTGCATTAGCAGTGTTGACCTACATGTTACACCTGCATCTCATTAATAAACACAAAAGTGTTGCAGCCTTTACAAATTACACAGAAAGCAGACCTGTGGTCCACTATGGCAAAGTCTGTTTGTAGCTCAGCCAGGGGTGGACCAGGCCTCCTGCTCCCCTGTCACAGAATAATATAATCAGTAATATTGTTAACCAAACATATTGCTAAGCCATGTATAATATTACTATACATTCCTTTATCATATGTCTGAAAGTTACCACGCTGCAACACATTCTCAGTCCAGACAAAGCGAAAAAAAACCCCACCATAATACCTTAAATTCCACATTCTAACATGTCATTTCTATTATCACCTTAAAATATTCACGTTGTAAATTATCTCTGTGGTCCACCACTTGGTGCACTTGACTGTGTAAGTATTCATTTATCTTATGATATAATAACGTGCTCTTTTCTCTCTGCTCAACAGTGAGTTTGTTACTGTTCTTATATCAACATTTATTAGTCTGTGTGTGTCTGTGTGTACTGTCCAGGTAACTCTCAGATAACACAAATGCTGCTGCAGCAGGCGCATCAGGATCACCGCACCCAGACCACTGTCACTGGCCTTTACTACTCGTTTACCACAAAGAAACAAGAGGCCATACAATACAATAATCCACACGATCAAACATCACCTCAGCGCCGAGGAGGGCGCCCACCACGAGTTTCTCTACAAATATTCTCTGAGGCAGCAGAAATGCCATCCTCACGTCAACAGTTGACCAAAATATGGCTGACCCCTCACACTAACAGTGTGAAAAACAGTAAATAAAAGAATGAGTCTTGAAAGAGCAACATCGTTCAGATGATGCATTACGCGTGTACACAGACGAGCTAAGATCAAATATTTATGTGAACCAGCCTAACACGCACAGTGAAACCCTCAGAAAGATGCAGCTGCATACAAAACTCAGGTTGCTCCACATTTGTTTTCAGAGTAATAACGCGCCTACCTCTCTGCATGGTTGGTGTGGGGGCAGTAAAAGCTTGAATTCGTGCAGATTAAAGCTTCATATATGGGAACACCCCAGCCTGCACCGCTATGATCGCACAAACCGGTCTGCATTGCGCTACGGCGCCCCTCTCGCTCCCTCCCGTAGATACAGGAAATTCACGTTGATGCGCATGAGCAGCTGCTGTTCATTTGGGCGATGCGTTTTCGTGGCAGCCATGTTTGTACGGGGGGGACCCTCCTAGTCCATGTATGTGTATGGAGGCTTTATATATACTGTATAACATTTTTCTTCACCTAATAACAGTTGACAGTAACTATGTTTTAATTTGATTGGAAAACTATTGAGCTACATATTGTGCCACATATAATTAATAAAATAACTTGTTACTTGTGAAATGTTATTGGAAATGTCTGTTTTCGAGGCTACTACTTGAACTGGTCAGAACCCCCGACGCAATATGGCGACGACAGATGCCTCTAGCTACGTTCGACTCCGTCCCTCCCTGTGGCGGCCGCAGAGACCGGGGGTTCTTTTGAATGACAGGCTCCACGTGGAAGAACAGAGCCGCTGATGTGTCCGTGAGTTTGCGCAGGACGCCTCCTCATTGTGCTCCTTTCGTCGCCACGCCACGTCCTCACCGAAAGCCTGATTCCGAGAGCAGCCTGCGATAGAGGCATTGGACTGTGCCCACAGCTTTTAAAATTCAGAGCTTCATACCAGCTGTAACTTTTTATAACAGCAAATTTGCTTATATGTTCTACATTATACCATGCCAGTCAAGTTATTTAAAGACCTTTCCAGCAATAATTTCACTTTAAAGAACAACAAATAAAGGATGCACAATTAGCGTGCATAATAATCTGCCATAAACCCAAAAGGTCTCAAAATCTAAATAACAGAAGTACCAACATGGACGTGACTGTGTACACAGCAGGACCAAAAGAATAGAACTCAAATAAATAAAACAAATAAATGTGCCAAACTAGAAGACACATGGTGTAAAATAAAGATATTTCATTTACAGTATATTTATTACTGTACATAGACTGAATACAAGAGGAGGTAAAAATCAGCACTGCAGTCCTAATATTTGACCACAAGGGGTCACAGTAACCCTGTACTTGCTTCTTAAAAGGTGAAACAGGCTCTAGGGAGCTGTCACAGGCACATCTGCCAAACATTATGATTAAAAAGATTAAGCTAGTAATGTTTTATTTATATCTATATTATACATGTTATTACAAACATCATGCCAGTAATGAAGTGTGTAAAAACCTAAACCTAGGGTTGTTCCTTCTTATTGGCTTCAGGATTTTACCACACTGTATAATTTCACTTTCTCCTCTTATCATGTTTTGTTGTTTAGTATTTTTAGGTCCCATACTACTACTGAGACAGAAATGGTTGCAAAGTATGAGTTCATGGATGGAGCTCCAGTTAAAGGAGAATCAATGCCCATCACACGGTTCTTGGCAGGTAAGAGCTCTCATCTCTCACCTCTTCAAATAATGTTGCACCATCAGTGTGTCAGTTTCCCTGTTAATATCCCTCCTCTTGATTCTTTTAAATGGGCCTAGTTGCATTCCAAGTGTGCACAACAGCCTTTCATTACAGGACATGACTCAACACCCACAGTGAGGGATGTCAGCAAGAAGTTCTCTGTACGCTACGTCCTTGATCTGGTGATGGTGGATGAAGAGGACAGAAGATACTTTAAACAACAGGTAACACAGCTGCACATGCCATATAATATTCTACATCAGGGAGCTAATAAGTTATTTGTAAATTGGCACCAAATATGTAGCGTCATGACTGAGACCTTACTGTGTAAAGTGCCCTGAGCTGACTGCTGGTGTGATTTGACACTACACAAATCAAATTGAATTAAACTGAATGATTTCTTTAGGTTAATCAGCCAGTGTCAAAGCAACAGCTGATTAAACAAACTGTAAATATTTAATAATGATATTATATTGATGGCTGGGACTCAAACATCAGCTCAGTATCGACTCTGAAGTTATAGCTGTGTAATACCCCAGTTCTTTAATTGGACAGCTCTGAATAACGAAGGAGTCTGTCTTTCTTCATTTAGTGCTGATTTATTTTAACCTCAAGTAAAAATTACAAACACGACCCGGGTTGCTCCCCCTTCCAGAGGCACACACACAGGCTGCTGGAAAGTGGAGTCCCTGGCCACACAGAGCCTAATACATTTATAAGTTTTTGGGCTAACCCCTTACCCAGACGAAGTCAGTCAGCAGACTCCATCTTTTATCTAGTGCTCCACATACTTGGAGCTGCTGCGTTTCTACCTAGTCATAACAAAATGAAGAATCTCAAATGCGTGTGTATGTTGTCACATGGTGTGTAGCTAAGGCAATCATTAATTTATTCAGACATAATATTCTAACACAAGATTAATACAGGAAAATAATTGGTGTCATGGTTCATTTTTCAGAATCAACATTCTGTCTGCTAACCTTGAAACAAAACTGACTAGAGCAAACTTTAAATCTCACTAAATTGCATTACTAACACATTAATGTTTAACAATTATCTAACTGATTTAATAATATCTAACAGCTGCAAATGTCCCGCCAATCAAGACTTACAGTTCCGTTATCACCAGTGAAACCAAACCCTAACCTCCCTCTAACCTTAAACCAAGTCATCATGATTTACATTTTGGGGGCTTGGTTTTTGTCCCGATAAAGACGGCAAGTCCTCATATTGTGACGTCCCCACAACAGGCCGCTGTATACAAGCATCCCAGGGTCACCGAGTCCTTTTATGAACTTTTGGGGATACCCATTGATTCCAAAGGAGAAATTCAACTTTTGAGAAATAAAGAAAAACAAAGAAGCTGTGAAAAGAGCTGAATTCTTGCTTTTTCTAGAAAATAATCTAAAATAGCCTGAACAAAGTGGTGATAAATACAAATAGTGGGTTGTAGTGATATTTCAAGCAGACAGTTGTCTTTAAATAGTATCACAGGTATTTTCAATCTTATAATTAGTCATACAGTCCCTCTACGTTTAGACACATTTAAAATATATACAATTCGTCAAAAATCAACAGAGGTGCAGTTGCCCAAGATGGAAAGAAAGAACCTTCAGACACAAACAACAACACACTCGGCCAGATGCACACACATCCAAAAAGGTCAAGGAGGGAAGTACAGTATTTGGCCTTCCATTGGAAAGTGAAGCTCAGTGAGAGCAGTCACACCTTTGTCACCACACAAAAACCACTCACACTCACATAAGCACACAGAAGCACTCAAACATCTCCATGTGTGTCTCACTCACTGAGATGGCTCATTATTTCACAGCTGGTTTGTGCACAAACATCCTACTGACACTCACTTACAGGAAGGGAGATTACTCTATAATTGTTAACATGACCTGCTGTGGGGACATAAATCTGTTTATACAGTCACACTGTGAGGACTCGACATCCTTATGGGGACAATAAACAAATTTCCACTATGTGGTTATGATTAAGGTTGGGATAATTCTTCAGGAAATGAATGTAAGTCCCCACGACTGTGTATGTGTATAATGGTAATGCATTTCATTTAGAGAACACTTTTCATTCTCACGCATAGTAGGCAAAAAAGATGGAGCTGGAGACATGACGCAGAAAATTGGGCCGTCAGGCAGCGATGTTGTTCTTACAGGTCACACCACATAGGATGTGCCGTCATTGTTAACACGGGTCTCCTGCTGCCCTGTGTTCTTTGGCTGAACAGAAACACCAGAGTAATTAGGATAATTAGGCAGATGGTGCTGTGCAGCTTCCAGTCAAACAGCATGTCTGAAGCAGAGGCATGGTTCTTTATTTATACCTGGCTGTGTGCAAGGCAACACCTGATGCACATGAAGTTTTGCAATTCCTGGAACATGTGAGGGGAACAGGGTCATTGCACGGCTGCAGAGTCTTAACAGGGACTCGCTGTAATTCCACACAGGTGCCTGGTAACCCTCTGGTGCAGAGTGGAGAATGAGTGTGATGAAGCAGGATTTAGAGTAGCAGAGCCTCAACCATCTGAGAGCCCACTCTACTATTGAGTATATGTCACTGAAGGTAAACAGGGCTATTACTAACAGGGCTCAGCATGTTTTTTTCTGTCTCAGAATGCTTTGGGATGTTGACTGCAGCGTGCAGTACACCTGCATGGAAGCATCTGCATGTTTCTCACACTGGTTTATTCAGATTCTTCCTGCTCCCAGGTGTTTCCACTTAAATGTGGCTGATTAGACTCTCCCTCAGGTTAGAATCGGGTGGAGCTATGCTGTTATAGACCTTTTTCATGGAGGAAATTTAGAACTGTCACAGCAGGAAAATCACAAAATTAAAGATGTCTGAATTCCCTTTAGATACTTCAGTTTCAGGCTCCTGGATCACTATCACACCACCATGACATAATGAGACACCAGGATAGAACGGATCCATCATCATTATTATTAATTACAGCTTTACCTTTTCTGGAAAAAGGCCCATACCTCCACTCTCTGTACACCAAGAATTGTAATGAATATATAAATTGTACACCCTAACAACAGTCACAGACATGTTGATTGTCTGCATATTTTAACCCTGATTTCAAAGTCAAACCAAATTAGACACTCTGTAGTCTGTGCTCTGTGTACGGATCTAATCAGGCAAAGTAAGAGTATACTTCTCATTCCTCTCTCTCCTCCAGACAGATCTGTTGGATCAGAATATTATGGCTTTTTTTTTTTTTAAAACCATGCTGCTCTATTTTTAACTCCCCTTTTTCCGTCACATAGGGTCTACTTTGATCATTGTCCCTGTCTGTGCAGATGGCAGCACTGCACTTTCACTTTCTCTGCCCCTCACCCGTCCTCCTATTCCTTCACTCTGCTCTCTTCCCTGCTCACAACTCCTCTTCATCAACTTCTCCTTTTTACTGTAACACACCCACTACCCTCCTCTTTTCATCTGGGATGAGATTTGGTGAGACATGTGCATTTGTTAATAATACATTTTCCATTCTAATGGTCCATATGTTAGAATTTTGTATAAATATATTTGTCTATATATTTATACATGCTTAATTTTTATTTTCCTAATGCACATTCCTTTTTCTTGTTTACACATTCTATTCTTTTCTTGTTCTCTCAGCCTTATCTTGTTTACTCATTGCCTTAAGGAAGAACATTGCACATAAACACCGAGAGCCACTGTACCAGAGTCAAATTCCCTGTGTGTTTAACACACCCAGCCAAAAAATCTGATTCTGATATAAGAAAGAGGATTTCCCCCGTTTTTTGTCAGGGTAGTAATGGGGATAAGTGAAATAATCTATTTGCCTACTTATTTCTATGGCCTTAATGCTGAGTTGATGTTTATGTGTTTGTATTTCTGTGTGACGTGCATTTTAATGAACTTTTTGCAGCTGGATTTGGTTAAATTTTTGAGAATTTGGCAAAATTATCTGCTGTTTACTATAAATGGTGTTTTCTTACCACCGTTCCCACTTTACAACACCATGTCACACAACTGCATGGCTCTGTTTGTCTTTAGCACAGGCTAAGGGCATGCATATGCATCCTCACACCAGCACGTGCACTGGAGGACACACACATACATTCCTATCTTAACAGTGAAGTGTCAAACTGCACCGAACAAGTGCAGATCACCGTTTCTTGGGGAAAACATGTTGGTGCCACTTGACTAATCATATAAAGAGACACTATGCCACATTTTGTACATTAGGCCCATCCAGGTAACCAACACTGTGTCACATTAGCAGCAAACAACTGTTCTCAGCATCTCATTGTGTTCAGTTGTTGTTGAAGCCTTTTTACTACACAACTGTAATGATGTGCATCATCAAACTAATTGCATTCCTACAGTATATGAGTACAATCAGGATACAAATTGTGATAGAAGAAGTACTCAGATTGTGCACTGAGTTACTTTCCACCTCTGGATACAAGTAGATTTCAAATTTGACTGGAATCCAGAGCTTGTGACAACTGGTCAGGGGAGTTTTATTGGGAGCCTTTTATTTCTAACTGTGCTTCTTATTACATTGTAAAATATTTAGTTCGTTTTAATACAATGTGAAAATTTAAACTAGAAAATCTACTGAAGTTGAATTGATTTTTTTTTTTTTTACAAAACAATAAAAAATATTTTATGAGCCTTGTCTCTTCAGTGTGTAGCCTGTTAAACAGGGGCCTTTCCTGCACTCAGTTATGTAACAGGGATTAGGTCTCACTATTTGGTGGCCCCAACAGTCAAAACTGCGGGAGCTATTTTTAACCCTGGACCATAACATAGGGCCTCCCACAACAACGCCAACAGCCAGTCAGTCGCCTGAATCCGTAACCGAGTCTGTTTTCACTTCTCAGAGCTGTAGCTTGTTGCTAAGCCGCGTTAAATCCATATGACTACTGAACAGTAGTGAGATGTAGCAGAGCGTTGTTAATTTGAGTCCCACATTCACTCATGTTGCTGGTGTGAGGCTCCATTTTTAACATGGGAAGCTGCCTACATGTTATGGTTGTCATTCAAGTGACAACACTGTTGGTGGATGATTGAAGGAATGATGTAGGGTGGGTGGGTGGAGAAGACAAACCCTGAAAATGTAAAACAATGTTTTTACTGGGCTGCAAATTATTTAAACATTTTCAAATTGTGAACTCTGAGCTATCAGAAAGTGTACTTACAAACTGACTTCAAGTGAACACAGTAAGCTGGAGGGCGCCATCTGGTCCACGCAGGCTTGATTTAAACACTCGTTGCTCAAAACCTGTGACAAGAACAAATTAAATGATACAAAACATATGTTCAGACTAGGATTACAGAGATGGACAAAGCCTCATCTCCACATGGACAGTACTTTTACTCATGCATTCACCCCCTCATTTTAATAGTTGTCTTTCTGCATCTTAACTCTTGTCTTTGCTTCTGTGTTCTGAAGTAAATAACACTGTAAAATAACATTTGAACCTCTGAGCACAGGAAAGGAGTTCAGCTGTCAAACTCTATTTGAACATATGCTCCTGAAGAAAAAAACTTCTCAGTCAAACAACTTATAAAGCACAAGTCAGATTCCATGTAGGGACTGGAAAGTGTAAATCAAATCCTCCACTGAACAGTTTTATTTTAGACTGAGTGTTTCTCTATTAATGAGACAACATTGGTTGACAAATGAATATAAAAATGACAATAACAAATGATGGGGAAATAAGATGAGCTTTATTTGATCACTTCTGTGCAAATTGCCTGTGACTAAATATCAGCATCACTGATTTTCCAACACCAGACTGACTGCTGTCCCCTAAGAGGGCGAACACATGTGGAGGACACCTGTCTAATTATGTTCATTATGTGCTAGATTCATTGGAGGACACCTGTCTAATTATGTTCATGCTAGATTCATTTGAATTGATGAACTGTTTTAAACTGAAAACGTGAAGATTAAAGGTATGAAAAATTTGCTATTTCAGCTTGAGAATTAGTGTATGTAAGGTAAAGTTACAAGTTTACTGTTTTGACTGAGCAGTGAAAAAGAGAGAGATGCAGAAACCTACACATCATAAACACACAGCACAAACAATAAGCCATAAGTGAATAAATAAATAGTAGCAAACTTTATAAAAACAAGGAGGATAATGAATGAATGAAGAACACCTTGGCAGACAGGTGATTGGTCAGGTGACCTCTGGTGGCAGAAAACGGATGTTGACCTGAGGACAGGAGACTCACCTAAATTAAAAAGTTATTTTCAGAAATGAGATACATAAACACATTTTTACTTACTTACACTGTTTTCCACCATTCATATAAGACTACAGTGATACTTAACACATTATTACAGCAACAACAGAACAGAGAAAATGATCACTCAGAAATGACTATAACTGAAAGGCTGCAGCAATGACCCTGAGCTGCTCTGGAGCTCCCTGGTTGTACCTCAGTCATGCTGCCAGCGGGTCAGGGCCGACGCTGTCAACATCACCATCGTCACAATCCTCCCCTTAATTAAAAGATAAACCCAGGAAGATAAAAAGCTGAGCAGTTAAGTTGCAAGTTACCACGTAACTGCAGCATTTCCAGGTTGAGAATATTTGTCTCCTGTCATTTATGTAAACACTTCTTCCTTCTATTGAACGCTCAGCCTGCTCCCCCTTCAGTCCTGCCTCCCTACTTCCAGGACCTTAATTAGTCTGTGAAAAGAAGACTGTGATTCATCTGTTTGATTGTTTCAGTCATCAGCACACAGCACTCTACAACTGTTTCCTCAGCAAGATGCCAAATTTAGTTTCAATCGAAGGGTGCAGGCCAAACCAGACGCCGATTCCCTGCCGTTTATCAGCATAGCACCTGTAATTCAACCTGCCCGTCTCCTTTGTAGACACAGGTAGACAACAGAAACACATTCATAGCGTGTGTAATACTATGGAACATCTGAGCTAAATAACTCTGTATTGACTGGGTGGGCTTGATGTCAGTTTATGCCTCTCTTAATTCACACATTTGGGAAGGTGATTCCTCTTCTCCTCTTGTCTGAATATAATCACAATCTCCCCAGAATAAACACACAAAATAAAAAGTATGGATTGAAATTGTGACCATGGCAATACAGCTCAATAACCTTGAGCAAATGAGAGTGTGGAAAACAAGTAATAAATCAGCATTATATTCACCCAGTGAGTTTGCAGTACTTATACTGGTGAAACATTCTGGGAGCACTGCCACTGCATGAGTCTTATGCTACAGTATAAACTGTAACGCTTATGGGTAATTTTGTTTCTCAGAGAAAGGCACAGTGAGAAAACACCTCTATTCCCATCTACACATCAAATACTGTAAGGTCCTAACCAGTATGCCTGTGCCAGAGTGGAAGACATTTAACTTGCTTCAGGTGTAAATTAAAGGTTTTGTCAGATATCTGTCAGCTTGGGTGGTTGTAAATGTGTTTATATACTTTAAATATGTCTAGGATAGAAACAGGGTTTAATTAATTGGTACATTTAAATAAACAAGTAGTTATAAACAAAAAATAAGTAAAAAGACTCTGAAAGGGCACATGTCACAGACTTGATGCGTTTGCATTCAGCTCCTATAGGTCGTACAGCTCTGCTAACAAAGATCTCATAGATGTCCCATGGCCATGTTTCAAAGGAGACTCCACACTTGTGGAACCAGTCGCCTTTTGACATTAAAAACACGCCATCCACCCCTGGTTTAAATCTACGGGCTTAAGACGCATTTATATTAATCCACCGCTGAGCGAAGTGGATGCCAGAGGGAGGAGCAGGACGGCGAGCCGGACCAGAGGAGGCTCTCTGCCGCGACAGGTGGACACAGTAAAACCACCTCAGTGCAGCATCATTCTGACCAGCAGTGGAATTAACTCACAGAAGAGGAGCAGAAGGAAAACGGAGCGCTTGATCAGCAGCGCAGGGAGGAGGAAAGCTTTCTCTAAATGCGATGAGAGCGTCGGATGAGGAGAAGAGAGCGGAGGGCATCGGAGAGACCAAACAAGGAGTGAGTACACAGTTAGTAGCCTATATAGTGACACAGGGCTGCAACGAGAGAGTGGAAAAAGAACTTGCACTGAAACGTTGTTACAGCCTGGTGCAATAAGTTGTCAAAGGCCATTAACAAGTCAAAGGTTTTGCACGATATTAATGTTTGTATTCATTTAGGTAAAATAATAATAACATTCCTCAAAGCTCATGCCAGACCTGTTCCACTAGTCTTACCTCTCTTAGTCAGGTAGCAGAGATGAAGAGGTGCGGGTGTGTTTGAGTATCTTGGACTCCAGCAGCTCAGCCTCCTGCGCAAACAGCATGATTGTTTCAGTCTTTAAATTATTTGCTGCTTAAACGTTTCAACCTGCCAGACAACCCACTAAAATGTTTCTCAGACATCTGGGCTGCAAGTGACACTCAATAACTCGCTATTTCTGAAGCTCTGCAGCCTCGTTATTAAAAAAAAAAGACCTAAAGTGAGTTTTCGTTATTTGCAGAATAAAATCTTGCATCTTTAGGTCGACAGATCTTTTTATGGATTTTATTAAGAAGTGACAAACTATACCAATGACACAGGCAGACATAAGCAGACCACTTAGAGAAGGATGTTTAATATTTGACACCAACTTAAGTCGATGTTGTTTGTAATTTCTCTCCTTATGTGCAACTCCTGTGACCTTCTATGGAAATGTGAATTCACAGTGCACAATACAGTTTAATTGTTATCCTGTCTACTGATAGATTGAAGTGAAGTATCACTGTCATTCACTTTAATTTTTAGGTTTTTAAGACTTTCTTCTTATCTCTTCTTTCTCCGTGATAGTGAACAGACCCCCGCTGCTTTTTTCTGTCTCATTCCCTTGTTCAGTCCAACTCATGCACACTAACATATAACATTAGAAATGAACATCAGAGATCTGATTGGTTGTTACTCTAATTTTCTGCATTTGCAATACCTGACAAAAGGCACTCAGTTAGTCAGACAGTTCACAGTTAAACACACCTTTTACATGTTGAATCAACTTCTTAAAAGGAGTAAATACATAAGAGCTGTTCATTCACAAGCTTCTTTTTCCCTCTCTCTCACCAGACATGAATAAATCTGGTTTGCCATATTCTTGCACTCCTGCTCTCACTGTTTCTGTCCCCTTTTAAGATGCACACCATGGCCTTCTTTCTTTTCCTTCCTGCTTTCAGCGTGCATTTTTACTCGCAAATACATGCTGATCTTACAGAAGCACACACACAAATATTACACACTCAGCATTTGATGGAAGAAAAGCTCTGAGGACTAAACTCAGTGTT